TTTCACATATTATGCAATTTAACCCACAATTCATCTCATATCTCATGTATAAGCATACTCTCTCTACTATACAACCCATATCAAATATCATTTCATCATTCACATATAAATATGTTCTTAAACATCATTATTAATTATGATTACACAACCATGCATATTATTTCTCCACATTAATACAAGATTTACATTACAATATAAGATATTAGTACATTTACATCAATAGGGCTCAAGCAGTTGAATAACTCTTTAAAAGATATAGTTCAACCAATAACTAATTAACATATAACTATATAAATAATGTTTTCCTCGATTACCCAAACCTTTGAGAGGTCAAAGGTTTGCCCTTTACAATATCAACTTTCAAAGCTTCTAAATGAGCTTGAATGGTGCCAGAATTAAACAATCAACAACTAATTACAAGGATATCATTATTACTCCATTTTTGGGAAATCTCCAACATTACAATTCCCTGTTCTCCTTTTCATCAACATCAAAAACTCACTACTCATCATACCCAATATATTTATTAAATTCCATTGACTTTCATTATCATTAATGAGCCATTAAACTACCATTAATGACCATTAACACTCCTAACAATCTTATTAAATGTCAATTTTCATATATTTATCGCTCCTATCAATTAACAACTTATACAATTATTAATGTAGGGTTCAAATACTCTAAACCCTACATTAAATAGAGATTTCGAGTTTCAACCTTGGTGTGCAACAATGATTAAATTTTCATGAGGCATGTCCTTAAAAAGGTATTCTTAAGCTACTGATAGGATTAGTTTAAATCAAAGACTTAGAATACTAGAGTGAAATAATTTTACGTACTTATATATATTAATAATTTTTTCTTGAAACCAATATATCATATGATATTCCACTAACAATACCAATTATGTGTAAATTGGCATATTTCACGTGTGGAACGAGAAAGGAAGTTAGTAGAGAGTTGTTAGTGGTTGAGAAAGTTCACGGGAAACCTTTCTTGTGATATAAGTATTGAGGTAACTGAATAATTTTTTCTATTAGATTATCTATTGTAACTATTTGAAAGTAAGAATATTAATGCATGAAAATGTTTTACAATAAGCATGTTTGTCAAATAGGTGTCTGCATGAACTTGGTTTCTAAAGGAAGTGATTTTATGAATTACATGCTAGAATATATATATATATATATATATATAGGGTACAGATATATATGGTTTTATATATGTGAAGTGATGTAGTTTGTATGAAAGCATAATCATAAGAGTGGGAGTTCACCCATAAGAAGAAGTAGAGAAAGACCATATGTCATTATTCTCCTTAATATCTGACAAAGTGCGGTGTTAAAGAATTACATCTCCTTAGTGCCTATTAAGGTGCGGTGTTGGATATTATTTTCTTAGTGCATATTAAGGTGTGATGTTGGAGATTCAGACTCCTTAGTATTGATATGATGCGGTATTAGAGTTAACGATACTTCATTGTGCGTAATGGAAAAACTATAGTCCAAAAATGAGATCGAACACCTTTGGCTAGGTGATTCTACCATTAAAGGCAAGCTCAGGGCTAATAAGCGTGTATGCTGGTCCAAGATGAGCCAATAGTTTTAAGTCTTTTGTGATATGAGGATTCAAATGGTAATGATCATGCTATGTGCTATAAATTTGGTGAATTGTGAAAAAGACTTATGAAAGTTGTGATAAATAGTGAAATATAGTAATAATATATTGATTTGAAATGAAATTCTTGTTATATGCCAGGTTTCAATATGTATTATATAATACTTGCTCATAGTTGTATGTGATAATTAGTAGTAGAGAATTACTCTGTTACTAAAATATTTATCTCGCCTTGTGATCATATTTTTACATGTCGGAGTGGGCAAGAGAAAAGAGTTAGAACTAGCATAGTTGTGCTCTTGCCATGGAAATTCTTGAGTCTGTGTAATGAACTCATATTTAATGTGAACATTGTGTATATAAGTTTTCATAGAATTTACAAACATATTTTGAGTTGTGATTTGATGAGATATGAAGTGATTTTGTAAATCTTAGCCCTTATGTGTGAATATGTAGTGAAATGAGCATTTAGAGCTAAGATTTAGTTGTGAACATATTGTAAATATACTAGTGGTGAATATGAAGTGAATTTGTTGTGATATTATGGTAAAAATGATCAGAGAAATGTGTTTATGTTAAGCTGTGAAAAGTTCAGGTTTGTGAAAATGGGCTGTTGAATGGTCAAATCTTGATCTGTGTGTGTATTTGATATAAAATGTAGTTAATCAAGTGTATTAGGTCTTTTTAGACTTGGTTCAAGGCCTAGAGTGGCCTTATAAAACAAGGTGAGTGATTTGAGCACTTGAGGGTGCTAAATTTTTTTTAAAAGTAGCTTTTTGTACTCAGGTATTTAAATTTTTATCAGATTGTTGGATCACGTCCAAACTTATTTCATTAGCTAGGTTATGTAACAAGCCTCGAGTGGGTACTTGAATCACTCTGATCAGACATCGTATGTGAAAACGGCGCATGTTAAAAGTTCATCTTACGAATTGTCATATGATAATTGTAGAAAATATCATGTGCGTCATAGTGCAATGCATTGTACATCATGCCACAGCTTATAGAACAAAGAGGGTTAGCTCGTAGCTCTATGCCACATGCCCCATAATTTGACCTTATTTCTTTATTTTGAAAGCATGCATGGACTATAATGAATGCATAGGATAATTTTTGTTGTGCTATGCTTTATTTTGTATTGAGTTAGATGAGAATTTTGATTATTTTAAAAAACAAGTCTTGGGCCTAAACTTTTCAAACAAAGTATTTGATTATAGTTTGGTGTTGTGATTGTGGTGATTAAGTTAATCACTCCTAATGTCAGGTGGATATTGGGAGAGGTTACACACTTCCTACCAAATACATTATTTGGATGCATTATATTTCTAAGTGTTTGATCAAATGCTTCTACATAATGGCATTGCACCATTGTGGGTTCATCCCATATAATTAATTTGGTAGCATGTAATAAAGTGCTAATGGAGAGTTATGAGAAATATTGCAAACTAAATCTTCAATAATATTGATAGGGATTGCAAATCTTGAATGTTCCATTCTTCTAAAGGGTAACAAAGTTGCTGCTATTCCACTTGTAGCAACTATTAGAACGATTTCTCCTTTTGCATGTATTGTTGAAGTCAACGTATTCCAAAAAAATCTCTTTCCTGTGCCTCTATAGCCATAATAGAAGCCACCTTTTCTAGAATCAAAAGAACACATGATTGTGTCAAATATGTGTTTTTGTTCCATAGTTAAGCACTATATGATTATAATTTAACTCTTGCAAAATCATCTAGTTAGTGACATCAAGAGTACTATAATCATCTGGGAAAGGAAGTGATATGGATAGTTCTTAAGAGTCTTCCCATTCTATTGAAGCAAGATCTCTATCAAATAGGCTTACACACCTAGCCCTAAACTCGATCAAATAGGGGTTAAGCTTGAAGAAATGATTGATTTTAAGATAATATGGCCTTTAGGATTGAGCCCATATAAGTTGGGGTTGCTTATTTACCAGCTCTATTAGAAAGACATTTTCACTTTGTTTAAAATTGCTTCTTCTTTTTTTTGTGCTAATGTAATTTTATTCCCTTCAATTTAAGATGTACGATAAAAATCATACCTCTTAAACTTATTATTATTATTATTATTATTATTATTATTATTATTATTATTATTCATAGCCCACCCTTAGGGTAGGGGCTTATGCCTTGGCTTACTTTAAGTCCAACCCGGGCTATTTACTAAATAAGCTTAGGTCAGTTTCATGCTTTAATTAGGCTTTATTTTTTCAATGCATAACTTACGAGCCAAACAAACCGACTTATTTACACACACACACACACACACAAATATATATATATATACACACACATTATGTAATATATCATGCACACATCAATTTTACAATTTACTTTTTAATCAATCAATTTTTTTAATTTTTAGTTATGTTTTCAAATAGGTTGAATTATATATTGATTTTAATGTTAATATTTTATTATTATACTGTATTGTAGTTAGTAAGTCCTTTTAATTATTATATATTAAAATTAATAAATGAGGTTATATATTTATGCTGATATTCTTAAAGTATATTTGAGACATTTAAAATAAAAATGTGAATTTATTTAAAATGCTTACTTTTAAGTAAGCTTTTAAATAGGCTTTCAATATGAGTGGAAATAGGCTAGGCTAAGTTAAGTTAGGCTTTAATCAAATAGACCTCAACCTATATGATAAGCTAGAGGTTTGAGTTTGGCCTGAAGCTTGTATGAGGCTTTTCTTATAACTTAAGCCTGAGCTTACCTAAAAGTTGATCTCACTTGAAAGCTTACTTAAAAGTAAGCCTTTTACATAAGCTTGCATTTTAGTTTTAAATGTATCAAAAATACTTTAAGACTATTAGTATAAATATATAACTTAATTTATCAATTATAATATATAATAATTAAAAGGACTTACTAACTACAATACAATATAATAATAACATTAAAAATTAATATATAAGTCCAATCTGATTGAAAATATAATTAGAACTAAAAAAGAGTAGATTGATTAGAAAATTAAATGTTAAAATTGATATGTGTGTGATATATTATATAATATGTGTGTGTAATAGACTGGCCTTAAAAAAAAAACGCCTAACCTATTTAACTAAATAGGCCTAATTAAAGGTTTGAACTTGATCTAACAAATCCATTTAAGTTGGGCTTAAAATAGGCAAAGACATAGGCCCTTGATAGGAGCTTGACTTATTCCCACTCCTAGCTTTCAGGTTAGAGCAGGTTTTATGTAGCTTCAGATTTAAGCTGTAAAAAGTCTTATACAAGTTTTAAACCTTTAATTTGCCATACAGGCTTAAGTTTATTTAACTAAAGGTCATCTCAATCTAGCATATTTTTACCCTTACTTACCTCTCAAGTTAGTTCCATCCCGTGCCAGATTAATTTTTGATATAGATAATAACAGGAATGAGGAACTAATGTCAAACTTTTCTATTTCCCTCTTCTCTTCACTTTTTTTCCGCGCGCAGTGCTCACAGCTACACCACTGGCATAGGAAAAGGAAACCTATCAGAATATTCAAACAATTAGCTAATAAATAAAATAAAGCACTTGCTCCACAATATTACACATGTTAAAATCAGCTTCTAGCTAGCAACTTTCTCAAGGAGAAAAATCCTCGTTAGCCACAAATATTTGTAAAGAGAAAAATTGGTTTCAATTTCATACATACTCATCTTTTCATGCCTGCCATCAATAGCTAAATAAAACCCTAATATCCATCGTCTCTTATCTTCTATAGCTACAACCAAAAGAAAATGTCCAAATTTGATCCTTACAACCATCTGAGTATAATTCTTAACCCCGACGGGACTCTCACTCGTAACTACAATGCTCCGACGGTCAATTCAAGCCCTGAGCCCACGCCGGGCGACTCTGCCGTCTCCAAAGATGTCACTCTCAACGTTGAGAAGAAATCCTGGCTTCGCATTTACCGGCCGACCAAACTTCCGTCCAACGACAACATGGTGGCCCGGCTTCCGATCATAATCTACTTTCACCACGGAGGTTGGATTCTCCTTAGTGCGGCTGACGTTAACATCCACACAAACTGCTCACAACTCGCTGGCGACATCCCTGCCATCGTTGTCTCTGTAAACTACCGCCTCGCTCCTGAGAGTCGCCTGCCGGAGCAATACCACGACGCAAACGACGCCGTATTGTGGGTTAAACAACAAATAATTGATCCAAAAGGAGAGAAATGGATAAGAGACTATGGAGATCCTTCAAGATGTTATCTCTATGGATGTGGCTGTGGAGGGAACATTGTGTTCAATTTGGGTATGAAAGTTTCAGAGTTAAAATTAGAGCCATTGAGGATTCAAGGAATAATAATGAACCAACCCATGTTTGGAGGAGTGAAGAGGACGAAGTCGGAGCTGCGATTCGCTACGGACGAGCTCTTACCACTACCTGTGGTGGACTTGATGTGGGACCTAGTGCTGCCGAAACAAGCCGATAGGGACCACAGATATTGTAATCCTCTGTTGGAAGGTCCACACAAAGAGGCCATAGGGAGGCTGGCAAAATGCCTTGTCATTGGCTTTGGTGGAGATATCATGATTGATCGCCAGCAAGACCTTGTGATCATGCTTGTGAACTGTGGGGTCCAGGTGGATGCGAGGTTTGATCCAGTGGGGTTCCACAATGTTGATATGGTGGACTCTCGGCGAGCTAGTGCAGTTGTGAATATCGTTAAGGAATTTATTCTTTGAATTGTATAGTCTTAGCTTGTGTGGAACTCGAACTCGATTACCTTTGACAGTATAATTGAAGAGTAGACTTTGCAAGAGTTTTTTCATTTGACAAATAGAACTATTTCTGTGTCTTGTTTTAAAAAAATTGTATTTATAGATTATATGGTTAATTAATGAGGTTATAGTCACCTTATATGATTGATGCTTATTAAATTAAATGTTGATAAGGAAAAAAAAAATATGTTGTTAGAAAGCTGATTAATTTTAGAGTGATAATAAATGTTAATTTTTTTGTAAAATATAATGGAAGTGATTTATCTTTTTAGGGCAAAAAAATTTTTATGGGATTGATTTACTTTCTTTGTTTATATTTTTAAATCACTTTTAACTTGTACAATTGAAATTAAGAAAAACATTAAAACTTAATGACTCACTTAAAAATTTTAATAAGTTTTTCAACTTTACACATATTAAATACATATAATAATGGACTTTTTTTACTACTATTTAATTGAGATCAAAAGAGAAAAATTATAATAAAAATTAATAACATGGCCTGCAAATGATTTGAGTTGTTCAAATGAGATTTGTCACCACTTTACCATTTTTTTAAAGTTAAATGATTACTTTTTTAAAAAAATTAAATAAAAAGTCATAATTTCTCAAGTTTTGAATTAAAGTTGTGATTGACAAATTTAACTTCTCAAGTTAAATTTCTTTTATAATTGATAAACAAGTTTTAAAAATAACCAATACCAATAATAATTTTTGTTTAAACAATCAAAATTTTAATTCAAAATTTAAAAAGTTATAATTTTTTATTCAATTTTTACAATTCATATAACAAAAGTTGTGATTGTGTAAACAAAAGTTTAAACAACAATTATGATTGAGAAAATGAAACTAACCCCATTATTTATATTTTAAATAACAATTTAATCATTTAAACTAAAACAATGGATATCATAAAAGTACATATTTAAGGAATTTTAAAAATTATGTCATTTTAAGGATCCATTTGTCATTTTTTGATTGAATTTTACTGTCACTTTTCATAATTTTTATAAGCTGATAATCATAGGATTGATATTAATTTACATTATATGCACCATTTACGGTAAAAGTAATTAAAATTTAATTGAAAAACAAAAAATACGGATCATCCAAATCATCATGATTACAGATAGATTAAGTAGCAGGGAAGAGTGAGAGAGTTAGAGAGAGAAGCTCCGAAAGAGGGAAAGAGGTCTCAGGCGAGAGGGAATCAGGCAACAAATGACTCAGGAGATGGTTTATCTAAGATGAAGGAGGATGTTATAGGAAGAAATATCAAGAAACGAGATTCGATCCCTCAATATGAAAAGATGCAAGGTGAAGGATGTAAGAATGAAAGGGGTGTAAGGAATGGATACAAGACCAAGGGGATGAATATGGACAAAGGAGGAAATATGGAAGGCGTAAGTAAGGGAATATTCAGCAGGCCACAACAGATTTCCTACAAAGTGTCTTTATTGGGTCAGTCAGATGAAAGAAAAGAGTAGAGCTATGATGAAATTTTTAATGAGTGGCTGGTAGAGGAGAGCTTAATGGCACCTACACTCACGGAGGAGCAGAAGAAGCTTGTTGCAAGTCTACCACAGATAGAAGTTCCTAACGATAAGTGGAAAAAACTATGCTATCCATGGCAGGATGCTCTTAATTTAACATTACCCGGCTTGCCTATGAATGTGTATGAGTTGAAGTTTAAACTGCCAAAGTTATGGAAGTTTAGTGACTTCGAGCTCATTGACATGGAAAACAACTACTTTGTAGTTTGATTGAATGAAGCTTAGCTATATCAAAAAATCTTGCATGCTAGTCCCTAGATCATTGCTGGGCATTACTTGGCGGTACAGAGGTGGAGCCCAAATTTCAACCTGTTCTCTAACAAACTGAAAAAACTTGTTTAGATAAGAGTTCCTATTCTTCCCATGCATTTTTACACTAAGGAATTCCTGTTTGAAGTTGGTAATCTCATTGGAAAAGCAGTCAAAGTAGATATGAACACTCTGGCTCAACTGAATGAGAAGAATACCAAGGTAGAGCGAGGGAGATTTGTTAGAGTCTGTGTAGAAGTAGACTTAGAAAAGAGACTTTCATCCAAATTCGTCATTCAAAAACATATTTTTACAGTTATGTATGAAGATTTGAATGTGATATGCTTTAACTGTGGGAAGTATGGTCATAGGAGGGAGGAATGTCCTTTGCTAAAATGTTCTACGAATGAAACACCGGAGAAGGAGAAAACAATTGAAACTGGTGTACCTGAGTCAAAAACGCCGGCGATAATGAATATTACTATGAACCTAGAGAATATTCCGTTGAAAGAAGACGTGGATGATTGGATGAAAGTGATATACACCAAGCCTTGATTTTTTTTAAAATGCTTATGAGAAAGGTACAGGTATGAAGCAATAAGGAGAAATGGAGTATGAGTAGACAGCCTACAGCGTTTTCCTTGAGATTTTCTCCTCTAGCTGATGAGGATGAAAGTTTAGAAGATCAAACAAGAAAAGAGGAGGCTAAAAGTCCAAAGGAAAAAAAGGAATAAGTAGGGAATGGAGAGTCAAGGAGGATAAGAACAAAAAAGATCGAATACAAACAGAAGAGAATAAGGTGGCAGAATATGAACAAGCTTTAGAAGGGAAGGGACAGGCTTTGATAACTGTTAAAGCACAGAAGCAATATCCTAGTGAAAATGACAAGGGGAAGAACATTGAGAATGATGAAAAGGTGGGTCAAAGAAGCTAGAGACTAATGCAAGAAATGCACCATTTTGTTTTGCAGAGTTAATGGTCAATCGGATGAACAACAAAAGTCCAAAACCAAGAAAGAAATTGACTGGACAAGTTTCAGGAGCTAAGCGCAGAGTCATTAGGCTGAAAAGGAGTCAAGTTACAAGGCCCAAAGTGCTTTCACCGGTCCCAAAGAAGAAGGCAGCAAGCCGAATTCACCAAGTCGTTTTAGATGACTTGTTCAAGAAAGGCCCTTTAGAATTGAGTTTGAATAGCAATAAAACAGGAGCCCAGATGGAAAATACAGGAAATACCATGAACATCATAGTAGCAAAAGAAATGGGTCATCAAGACAGTAATTCTCATAATGTTTCTCCTAATGAATGCATACCTCGACTCAAAGAACCACCAGATCCCTCCATCGACCCTGACTATGAATTCCACCATGTGGAAGAGTTAACTGAAGCTCGAGATCAGTTTTTTGATATCGAAGAAGGACATAAAGAAGGAACCTCCGCCGAGGAAGGAGAACGCCAAATTATGTCTCTCTGATTTCTTTGATCAGACCAGGTTCTTCTTTCTTTATTTGTTTTTATGAAGTTAATTTCTTGGAATTACCAGGGGGATGCAGTTAAAACCTTTCCTGGCCGAATAAAAGATTTAAGATGGAATTTTGACTGTGATATTCTTATTTTGATGGAAACATGAATCAGAGGGACAAGGGCTAGTTCCATTATTTGTAAACTGGGATTCTCTCATTGGATAAGAGTGGAAGCAACGGGCTATGCTAGGGGAATTTGATTATTATGGAATGGTGATGTGTGCGACGTTACCTGTTCCTTTCTTCTACACAACTTCTTCACCGCTTGGTTACGATGCTTAATGATGGGGAAATTTTCTAGTTATCTTGTGTGTGCGGTGAACCAAACTACCAACTTTGTAAACCTCTTTGGGATGACTTGATCAACATTGGTTCTCAGATGAATAATGCATGGTTGGTTATTGGTGATTTCAATGCTTATATATCCATCCTTGATAAATCGGGCAGTGATGCACATAATCTCATTGCTATGAGACAATTTGAGGATTATATTGAGAAGGCACAGTTGGGTGACATAGGTTTTTATAGGGGTAGATTTACCTGGGGCAATAATATAATTTCTAAACATAAAGATTGGGCACTTGCTAATACTGAGTGGAAAATTTTCTTTCCTGAAGTTAAGAATTATCATTTTCTCAAGTTTGATTCTAATCATAGGCCCCTCCACCTTAGAGGCCACATGTGTTCAAACAGCAAAAAAAAAAAGTTTTGTTTAGATGCCAGGCAACTTAGTTGCTTGAAGATGGTTTCTGTCATACTCTAGTACTAAGGGTATGATTGACATGGAATATGAGATAAACTCATATTTTATGAGCCTTAATTATATCAAGTTAAGCTAAATATTGATAACTAAGTGACATATATATGTATATATAATTATATAGTTCAAAAAAATTTAAATATTTTGTAGAAAATTTTGCAGAGTCTTCCCTGTAAATTAGACCTCCTAAAATTTCTACAATAATAAAACTTATCAGCCAATTCAGTAAAGGAGCCTTGCTCCACACCAACAAATTATATATCAACAAAATTAAAATTAGGATCTAACTATTGTATACATGAAATGCTAACGTACAATTATATAATATTAAATTTTACCAAAAAGGGATATTCACAATGTATTTCCTTTTTCTAGCAATAATAGGGTTCCTCAATAGTCCACAGGAGGTGCAGAGTCAGTTACAATAGTTGAGACCAAATAATTTCTAGTGAGTAGCGTTTCAATCAAAATTATAAATAAATAATGAGAATTTATAATGATAGTTACTAATAAACTTAATTGGAAAAAAATTCAATGAAATAATTAAACATATACTTAATTAACAATAAATAACAAGTTTTCTCAATAACATAACCATCAAATTTAACAATGCTAATAGAATCACATAAATGTATTAAAATTTGTACTGCTTATAAAATACAACAATTTCAATAATAACGCAATTCAATAAAATGCTTTTGAAGAATCAATCTAAAAATGATAAAATTTAATTTAAATCTAGGAGGGTTTTATCAGAACGAATAACGAGTGTGGATATACAATCTACGAGGGTAAGTAACCAATCAAGTATGGACACACAATCCACGAAAGTAAGTAACTAATCAAGTGTGGATACACAGTTTAAAACAGTAAGTAACCAATCAAGCGCGGCTGAAAGCCATGAAACAAGCATGGCAGAAGCCACGAATCAAGCCCAAGCATAAAGCCCACAAAAACAATCATGAGTGCGATGCTCACGAATCACCATCCCTCCATTCCACGTGTGTTGGCCATCGCACAGGGCTAACACCCTCTATAAATACTCTGTTAGCTAGGTGTATCAGGATGCGCCAAGGGCTAGCAGAACTGCCGTTAGCATCCTATGTTCTGAACTCAGTTCCCCTTAATAAAATCAAGTGTGTATGGAGTAAGAAAAATAATTTTAAAATTTTCACTTTCAAACACTATTCAACTATCCTTTTCATTGCCTAAATTTATTATCATTTCCTCCATACATGAATCATTGTATAAAAATTTTTATATCAAAATAGAATTAAGTAATTAAACTATTTTTGAGAAATAATACCATTTATTATATATCTGTTTCAATCATTATTTATTAACAATATAAATTATTAGTAAGATCAAAACATTGTCATTAGTAAAACAATCATTAGAAAAATAAAATTAACAAAGATATTTATACAATTTATAAAGGAACAATAGTAAAATTTAAATAAAGAGATTTTATAAACACTTGATTAGAAATTTACTCAAAATGTCATCCACTCACTTGAGGGTTTCAAGGAATTTTACAATTTGACCTCCTCAAGTTCTCATATACTTTAGTGATACCACAAATGATCTAGCACATAAACCAATAATCTTTGTGTCATTATGATTTTCTTTTTCAATATAAACAAGCAAAATTAATATTCAAGTTCTTAAATAATTCTCTAAATTTCTCATTAACCCCTTCAACTCTTACTGAACCCTCCAACAACTTCTATCAAGTAGTTCAACAATACTTAGCAACATTCAATTGTAATAATTAACTCAACCTTTATTCCAAAACTTAACAAAAATCTTAATTATCATCTAGTTTAACAATTACATTTTAGGTGTTACAAGATTCCCATGTGTAGTTCAAATTTATAAATTGTATGTAAAGACATATATTCCGTCAAGTAACATTTATAGTTCCTCTAGGTCCTATTATGAAAATTAAATAAGCATATTTCCACTAAATTTTATATTCAAATACCTTAAAACATAATATAAATCAAATCATATACAACTTCATACTTCACAATATACTAATAATCAATTTGCAAGCAATAATTAAGAGGCACTATCTTCATTTGAGTTTTAATTATACTTAAGTCAATTAAACTATTTGACAAACCTTAATTCATACATATGTCTCTTTGTAACCTATCTTCAATCATAAATTATAATAATCTTATCCTTCATTTAGACTTAATAAAGTACTATACGAGTATTAGATGTAATTCTTTTTCCTCCTTTACTCTTTTAAAATCCCAAATAATAATTTAAGTCACCGTACATATAATCCTTTAAAATTATATTATGCCAATTTAACAACATTCCTTCAAGCATTTTTGTAAATGTTTTGAGTGCACACCATGAGCTAAATCATGAAATCAACATTCAAATCTTCTAACAACTTCAAGCATTTAATTCTACAACTCAGTTCAATATCAAAATAAAGTAACACCCAACCTAAGCCAAACAGCACCTCAATATCCAAAAAAAAATTTCGACAGCCAGAATTAGAAAATGAAGAACAAGAGTGGAAGCTAGAGGAAGAGAAGAGATTGAGCTCACCACATAAACCCCTGTGAGACTTACCGCTGAGAAAGGATGAAGAGATGAAGACTGAGGGCGCACAACACACACCTCCACTGACCACAGAGCCGCAAAGAGATAGGGGATGGCGACAGAGGAAGAAATCTCACGTTTCCAATACACCGTCTGTAAAAGCACAGCTGCAAAGAAGGGAGTTGAAGACCACCAACAGATTCAAGGGCAGCAGATGAGGGGAAAGGGAAGATGAAGCCCACACAACTCCTACTACATCAACAAAAAATTACAGAGCAAAGAGGTGAGACCGAACCTGTAGTGACGGAGATTGAAGAGGACACTGGCGGAAGAAGGAAGAATGATGACTAGAGGCACAATGATGTGAGCTCGCTAGAAAGATCGAAGAGAAATAGAGAGAGAGTTCATGTCGGTGAAGAGAAGGAAGGAAATGAAAACAATGCTCTGTTCTTCATCCGTTAAAAGAGAATAAAATATTAATTGAAAATAATTTGAAAAAATTACAAGAAAGGCATGAGAAAATTTACAAGACAGTACACAAATTTTTTTTATAATTTAAAATAAAATAAAATCAAACTTTTGCTCAATAGAATTTAAACTCTAGACCTTTAAGAAAGTTATTAGTATAAGTTTCACTTAAATTATCACTCTCCACTTACTATAAAACTAATTTAAATAAAATATCAATTAAAAAAATTAATTTAATTTACTTTAATTTACAATTTAGGGTTATTACAGTTTCTTAGAGTTGGTAAGGGAAGCTTGGAATAAAGATAATTGGGATGACTACGTTAAGACCTTTGCAAAATAAGCTCTAGTGTGGAATGAGAGTTGGGTGGGGAATATTCTAGTCAAAAAAAAAAAACTCCTTAGATGCTTGGGAGGCATAGATAAAGTTAGAGTTAATAAAGATTCTCAATATTTGCAACAAGTTGAAAATGAACTGTGGAAATAGCACAATAAAGCCCTTGTTCAAGAAGAACTCTTATGGTACCAGAAATCAAGATGTGAATGGTTGAAATGGGGGGATAGCAATGTTAGATTTTTCCACTTCTCTACCATCCCTAAAATGGAAATAAAGTAGAATCGAGTTGAAAAAAATGAGAATGGATTTTAGGTTAGTGATAATGAAGCTATGAGGGGAGTGGCTTTTGAATACTATAAGTCACTTTTCTCTGGTAAAAATTTGAATTCTCTACAGCTCCATACTACCAAGTCTTTTCCCATACTAGATGAATTGGACTTAATGTACTTGAATAGAGAAGTCAACGATGAAGAAATAAAACAAGCTATCATGAAACTTGGAGTGTTTAAAGCTCCTGTATCTGATAGGATTCAAGCTTTCCTTTACCAAGATTTTTGCAATGTAACGGGGCCATCCATTTGTTCTTTGATTTGTAAAGTGTTCAATGAACCTCAAGTAATGCAAGATCTCAATGCTACTTACCTAACCCTTATCCTAAAGATTGATCATCCTAAAACTCTTAGAGATTTAAGGCTTATCTTATTATGTAACATTAGCTATAGGATAGTTACCAAGATTGTTGCTAATAGGATGAAAGACTTTATGGATAAACTTGTGGGAAGATAATAATGTAGTTTTATTATTGGTAGACAGAGCAGTTATAATATTATTATGGCACAAGAAGTCATCCACTGCATGAAATTGAAGCAATATTAGAAGGGAGTTATGTCAGTAAAGGTGGATTTGGAGAAAACATACGATCATCTTGAATGAAATTTTAATGACATTTTAGCCGAAGTAGGCTTTGATGAATGCCTAAGCAATGTTATCATGGCATGCATCATTAGCTCAAAAATGCAAATTCTCTAGAATGGAGAGCTTACCACTTCTTTTAAACCTTTTAGAGGAATTAGATAAGAAGATCCCATATCACCTTATATTTTCACTTTGTGTATAGAGAAGCTGACCATCTTATACAAGATGAAGTTAACCTTCAAAATTGGAAGCCTATAAAGTTACGCAAAGACAGTCCTTTAATTTCACATCTTTTCTTTGTTGACAACCTCATTCTATTTGGGAGACTTATGGGGATCAAATTGAAGTAATTAATACATCTGTTGATCAATTTTGTGAGGCTTTGGGTCAAAAAATGAATCAAAATAAAACTTTGATGTGCTACTCTGCTAATATGAATTTTAATAGAGCTTATAATCTGAGCCAATGACTTAGGGTGAGTCTCATCAGTGATCTTGGTAAGTACCTAGGCATCCCTCTTATCTATAAGAGAGCATCCTATTCTGCTTTTACTTCTATCTTGGAGAAAGCTAGAGGAAGACTCTCCAATTAGAAAAGGAAATTGCTTAATCTAGCAGGTAGAGCTATCCTTATCAAGTCAATCTTAGCCTCTTTACCCTCCTATTTTATGCAAACTATCCTTCTTTTGAAAAAGCTATTGAATGATTTGGATTGTTTGTGCCAAAATTTCCTTTGGGGCAGTACTGAGGATGAGAGGAAACTACATCTAGTTTCTTGGAAGGTAGTGAACAAAGGTAAGAAAGAAAGGGGTCTAGGGTTGAAAGACCTAAGATTGCAAAATGAAACCTAAATCATGAAGTTATGTTTGCATTTAACTAATTGAAAGGATTCTTTATGAGTTAATGTGCTTATTTAAAAATATAAATGCAATTTTTGTGAACTTCCCAAGTCCATCAAGAAGACCAATATGTCGTTAACTTAGAAAGCTATTGCAAATGTATGGCTGAAATTTAGACAAGGCTTGGGAAAGAACCTGGTTAGTGAAAGGAATACTTTTTTTCTAGAGAGAAAAGTAAGGGTTGCTTGAATAGCCCTTAAATGAATTAAGAGTCGAGGGGAGTGGTATATACTATGAAAAGGAGGTTGTGGCAAACTATGTCCTTGATAGTAGTGCCTGGGATATAAGAGGATGTGTCGTTGGTTGCTTGAGCTTGTGATTGACCTGATAACTTGTACTCGAGTCCCTAGTGAGATGAGAGGAGAGAATAAATACACTTGGTTACTCTCTAATAATGGTCCTTTTCAGTTAAATCTACCTATAATTTTATTTTTGCAAGTGCCACCGAGGAGAATGATGACATTTGGAAAAGCATTTAGAACTATCCTGCACCAGAAAAGATCAAATCCTTTCTCTAGCTTGTGGCTCATGATAGAGTTCATATAGCTACACTCAAACTAGAATGTGGTTTACAAAGTTCAAATGCATGCCCGTCAGGATGCTTGCAGGAGGAAAGCATCATGCATCTTATTAGAGATTGTAACTTAGCCTGAGACAAATGGAAAGAAACAATTCAGTGAAACAAGTGGGAGTAATTTTCCCCCTCAATGGGCATGATTGGTTGAGAAGGAATCTGAAAAATGAGATAGGGAATCATAATACTAGGAATGTCCAGTGGAACACCCTATTTGGATATATCTATTGGGATATTTGGACTATTAGATGTAACAAGCTTTTTGGCTTTAAAGACGTTGCTGGTAACACATCTTCTTTGAACAATGTTTCCAGAGCTGCTATGGATATGATGTTGATTAATTCTTACTCTCTTAATGTCAACAAGCAGAATATATTAACCAAGGGCGTTCCTCCTTTTAATGGTTTTGTCAAACTTAATACTGATTCTTCTATATTAGTAGACAAGAGGAATGCATGTGGGGGAGTAATTAGATATGCTAATGGTACTTGGATTATGGGGTTCAGGGCACATTTAGATTCCTCCCATTTTGCCATTATCAAAATAAAAGGCATAACCAAAGGGTTGGAAATCTGTTGGAATCTTGGCTACAAACAAGTTGAAGCTATCAGTAATTGTATTGAGGCCTTCAATTTGATTCTTCGAGATTCCATTGCCGATCATCCTTTCAGGAAGCTATTCTGGAAGCTAGAGAGTTTATCCAGAGATACTGGACTCTTGTGTTTAATTTCACTTTTAGAAAAGCTAATGTAGTAAATAGTTTAGCTATTTTTTCTCATAATTTATTGATATCTTTTTGAACTTTTGGTTATGCCCCATCTTGCTATAACAAGACGGTGAATGATGATAGGATGATTAGATCTACATGAAGTGTGGATCTTTTTAGTGTACTATCCCTTTCGTACTGATTCTGATTTTAGTTATATATAGAGTTATCCTTATTCATTCAAAAAAATAAAAAAATCATCATGATTGTCTGTTGCGGTGCACATGATGGATGTCTTTTTACAAGATTCATATGCATTGTTTGTTCGCTGAATTATATTACATGCTCAACTTTTAAAGAAGGTAGCGTTTCATTGTTCGATATCTCTATTTTTTTTTTTTGTTGTTGATCCTCTCGTTGCTGCTGTCATTGTTTTAAAAACCGAAGTTAAACCTAAAATGATCAGAACAGTTTTTAAAAAATTAGACGATTCTAAATATATTACTAAAAACCAACTTCATTTTGCCAAGTGGATGTGAGATGATAGTGATTTGACCATCATTGTTTGAAGGTTTGACTCCTAAAGGCGTGGATAGAAAAATATTAATTGAGGAAAAATAACATCTTAAATGGTGTTTAAATTTTTTAAAGGATTAGACTCACACTCCAACCGTGGGGATATCATGGGTGACAAAAAAACAAAAAACAAAAGCCAACTTCATTTTTACACCAATAATATATATATATATATATATATTATTTTTTAAAGAAGATGTTAATAGTTATAGATAAATTTCATTCGTACCTAAATTTAATCAAAACACTTGTACTTGATAAGTTATAAAATTATAAATTACAATATTATTCATTTGTGATCATATTATATATCATTTTTTTAACAACTAGACATACTATATATTTAATTCTTATATATATATATGTGTGTATATTATTTACATATATTTAATATGTTTTATTTAATTATTATATCATTACTTTGAATCACCAGTGTAAATTAAACTATAAATTAAAAATCGAGGCCCGCTAGCTTGTTCAATGCCTGGTTCAGCTTTTTGCTGCTGTTATTGAGGGCGTACGTGTGTCCCTTTTAAATATTTTATTAAGTATTTCCTTTTTTTGTTTGAGAGCCCATTGTTGTTTTGCTATCTGCTACTCTGGTTTTTTTAATGAATGAAGTTATCTTCTTCTGGCCAAAATCCATTTTTTGTTACAAAATTCAGTTATGCGATATGTTCTATTAGTGTGTTCTGCTCGAGAGGAGGAGGGAGATTTTAATGGAGAGAAGAGAAGGAAAGGAGAGGGGAGAAATTTTAATGAAGGAGAGGGAATGAGTTTGTAGTGACTTTGTTTGGTTCAAGAGGGAAGGGGAAGAAAAATCATTTTATATGAATAATTTATCCTCATTTTATTAGTATTGAAATATTGAAAAAATGTATCTATATCTTTTGAACTTATCATGAAGAGCATATTGGTTAGGGTGTGACAAATTTTATCCCTCTCTTCCCAATCCCCCTAATTTGGAGGGGAGGGTTTGGAGAAAATTTTTTCCTCCCCTTCCCTCCACTTTGTTAAACCAAACAAGGAGATGGGACAAAATCCCTCCTGTTTCCTCCTCTCCAACCAAACATATCCTTCATAAATAGGATAGAAAATTAAGTAGAATGTACCTACTAATACAAAACATTATTTTTAATTTTTCAATTACTTCCTCTATATTACAATATAAATCACTTTTTAGAAGCAAATCTTAATCCAAAATATAAAATATTAGGTAAATTTTATTTTTTTTCCATTTGTACCCTTGCTTTTTTATTCTTTTATCCTTAAATGCTCTATATTTAAAAAACATATATGTGTGACTATAAATTCTTGAAAGAACATAAATGAAAAATGTGAAATTTTTTTAAAAATATAGATTTCAATTAATATTTTTTGAAAGCTGTAAATTAGTTAAAAAAGATATATATTGTCGTTTGGAAAGTAATTTGTTGTTTTGAAAATTCTATGTCAATTAAGAAGGACGTGGAAATCACAAACGTAGAAATTAAGCAAATTAAAGTTCACCTTGGCTTTAATCTGGGGATTGCCCTCATCTTTATGTCATTCTTCCTCTAAGAAGTTAAGCAGAACGGTTAACTGCTTTTCAAGTTCATAACTGTCCCACCAATATTTTAATTCCGTTTACACTGAACTAATGTGAAAATTATGGTTGAAAATGTTTTATCAGGAAACTTTAAATGTAATTAATTAGCCTACCACTCACTTTTTTCTTCCCAGAGCCGAAGCTAGTGATGGCCCAGATCACATTGAATCTAATTAAACTCATAAATGTCGAATCAAACTTTGTATTCCCTTCATGTTCTGTCAATAATATATATTCCCTTCACCTCAAGTTATAAAACAGTTAAAAAAGAAATCAGTGTCCTAAAATATAAAATACTTTGATAAAAATAAGGTTCATTTATAATACTTTTTAATACTTCCCTTACTATATATTCTCTCTCCTTGGTATTCTTTCATCAATAGAGTATTAAATAAAAGTCATTTTTGAAAGTTTATATTTTTGTTTTAAAAAAATAAAGTTGAAAAGTGTATTTAATGAGTTTTATTAATATATGAGATTTTATCTAAATATGTCTTATAATTTGGGGAGCAAGGAGTAAAAAAATCAATATACTATGTCATGATATTAGGAACTTAATACGTACTCCAACCATTTAAAAATGTAAGGTATTTTTTGAGGAGTTAGATGTTAAAAAATATAACATATTTTTAATTTTTCGAGATGTAATCATTACTTTTTTCTTTTTCAAAAGTTTAAATATTGATAATGATTTTATATTTGTAATAAGTTGTTTAATAGGGGTAAATATGAAAAGATATGGTTAGTTTGAAAATAGGTAACTACTTTATTGAAAGCTGAAATTCGGTTAAAAATGCCTTACATTTTTTAACAAAGGGAGTATCAAATTATAAAATACTTTTAGATAAAATCACATGCACCAATAAAGCTCATTAAATATATTTTACAATATTACTTTTTAAAAATAAAAATATAAACTTTTAAAAATGTCATTCATTTAATCCTCCATTGGTAATATTAATGTGGAAGAGAAAAAATAGTTATATAAAAAGTAATATTAGAAAATATCATTAATGAAATTTTATATTTGTAAAAGTATTTTATAATTTAAAAAGTATCATATAATTTAGGATGGAGGGAGTAATATATACATGGTCATGGATAGTTGGTCCTTTCTCTAATTCTTGGTTGCTCACTTGAGCTTGCTAGGTCGGCTTTTGAAGCTTTTGCCTAGCTTCTCTTCCTATAGTTTCTCTTATCCACTCTCACTGGGACTTGAGATGAAAACGAAGATGATTAATTAAGGATGAAAAATAAATTAAATCAAAAATTAAATGAATTAAATTGAGTTATCTATTTGATTTGGTTTGTTTAATTATATGGTTTGATTCATATTTCTATTTCTTAAAACTTCAGTTGATTAGTTTGATTGAATTTGCAAATTTCAAAACTAAATAGACCAAATTATATGTAAATTGTTTTTTTACCTATGTATATATGGTTTATTAAATTATATAAATATATATATATAGTTTAAATTTTTTAATACATTTAAAAGGTAAATATCTTGTATTTTACTTCATCTTCTATTTCATGGTGGTTTGTGGTTATTTATGGTGTTTTGTGTCATTCTCTTACATAGTTGTTAATGGGAAAAATATACATTTTGGTTCCTGCACTTTGCTCGTATTTTGTTATAAGTTCTTACATTTTTTTCAATATTTTGGATCCCTATGTTTTCATTTTCTAATGTTTTATATTCATCCAAGGTCCCTATACTTTGTTCATTTTGTTCATTTACGGATCTAAAATATCAAAAAGGAAAGTGTAGGGACTCAGAATACTAAAAAAAAAAAAATGCAAGAACCTGTAGCAAAATATGAGCAACGTGCAAGGACTAAAAAATAAATTTTTTCATTTTAAATATATATATATATATATGCGTGCGCATGTAACTAATCAGAATGGATCATTCTCATTTTGCAAACGTAATTTAATATATATATATATATATATATATGGGGACTTGGAATATCTATGACACTCATTATAAGGCCTTCATTATTATTTTTAGAAAATATGGTGGATAAAAAAAAATAGATATAACATAGGTCCAAATCACTCACATGTGAGTTCCAACAATTAA